AAAGGACCTCGAAATTAAGTTGGTAGAGCAAAATATTCATTTATTTATTTACAAATTTTGAAGGAACAATGGCCAAACAATTTGATTTCATGGGGAGAGTTTAAATTTTACGCCATTTAGGGTCTAAATCATTTAGAAATCTCGTCGGAAAAACCAAAAACAATTTGATTTCATCTGTAGGGCTGAAATTGTTTTTGGTTCAAGTTCCTATTAACTTGGTAGAGCAAAATCATCATTAATTTACAAACACAACAAAATTTGATTTCATGGGTCAGAGCTCAAATTTTAAAGCATCTCCCTCTGATTAAAGCCCATGTTAAGTTGGCAGGATCAAAATCTTCATTAAATTACAAATTTTTTTGGTATAAAAACGGCAAAACAATTTGATTTCGGGGGAAGGCTCAAATTTTATGGCATCTCCCTATGTTTAAGGTCCAGATTAAGTTATGTAGAGCAAACTCTTCAATTATTTAAAAATTTCGACGGAAAAACCGCAAAAGAATTTGTTTTCATGAGTCAGGGATCCAATTTAAAAGTATCTCCCTATGATTAAGGTCCGTATTAAGTTGGCAGGAGCAAAATCTTCATTCACTTACAAATTTCGACATAAAAACGACAAAACAGTGTGATTTCATGGGGAAGGCTCAAATTTTATGGCATCTCCTTATGTTTAAGGGTCCACATTAAATTGCTAGAGCAAACTCTTTAATTATTTAAAAATTTCGACGGAAAACCATCAAAAGAATTTGATTTCATGGGTCAGAGCTCAAATTTTATAGCATCTCCTTATGATTAAGGTCCATTATTAAGTTGGCAGAAGTAAAATCTTCATTAATTTACAAATTTCGGCATAAAAACGGCAAAACAGTTTGATTTCATTAGGAAGGCTGAAATTTTATGGCATCTCCTTATGTTTCAGGGTCCATATTAAATTGGTAGGGCAAACTCTTCAATTATTTGCAAGTTTTGACGGAAAAACCACAAAAGAATTTGATTTCATGGGTCAGGGCTCAAATTTTAAGGCATCTCCCTATGATTAAGGTCCATATTAAGTTGGAAGGAGCAACATCTTCATTAATTTACAAATTTCGGCATACCTACAAACTGCAAAACAATTTGATTTCATGGGGAAGGCTAAAATTTTATGGCATCTCCTTATGTTTAAGGGTCCACATTAAATTTTAAAGCATCTCCCTGCCATTAAGGTCCATATTAAGTTGGCAGGAGCAAAATCTTTATTTATTTACCAATTTTGTCAAAAAAATCACAAAACAATTTGATTTCATAGGCGAGGGTTCGAATTTTATGGCATATCTCTATGTTTAAGGTTCCATATTAAGTTGGTAGAGCAAATTCTTCAATTATTTAAACATTTTGACGGAAAAACCACAAAGGAATTTGATTTCATGGGTCAGGGCTCAATTTTAAAGTCATCTCCCTATCTTTAAGGGTCCATATTAAGTTGGTAGAGCGAACTCTTCAATTATTGACAAGTTTGGACGGAAAAACCACAAAAGAATTTCATTTCATGGGTCAGGGCTCAAATTTTAAGGCATCTCCCTATGATTAAGGTCCATATTAAGTTGGAAGGAGCAACATCTTCATTAATTTACAAATTTCGGCATACCTACAAACTGCAAAACAATTTGATTTCATGGGGAAGGCTAAAATTTTATGGCATCTCCTTATGTTTAAGGGTCCACATTCAATTTTAAAGCATCTCCCTGCCATTAAGGTCCATATTAAGTTGGCAGGAGCAAAATCTTTATTTATTTACCAATTTTGTCAAAAAAATCACAAAACAATTTGATTTCATAGGCGAGGGTTCAAATTTTATGGCATATCACTATGTTTAAGGTTCCATATTAAGTTGGTAGAGCAAATTCTTCAATTATTTAAACATTTTGACGGAAAAACCACAAAGGAATTTGATTTCATGGGTCAGGGCTCAATTTTAAAGTCATCTCCCTATCTTTAAGGGTCCATATTAAGTTGGTAGAGCAAACTCTTCAATTATCGACAAGTTTGGACGGAAAAACCACAAAAGAATTTCATTTCATGGGTCAGGGCTAATATTTTAAGGCATATCCCTACGATTAAGGACCATATTAAGTTGGCAGGACCAAATTTTTATTAATTTACGATTTTCAACATAAAAACGACAAAACAATTCGATTTGAGGGGGAATGCTTAAACTTTATGGCATATCGTTATGTTTAAGGGTCCACAATAAATTGGTAGAGCCAGCTCTTCAATTATTTAAAAATTTCGACGGAAAAACCGCAAAGGAATTTAAAATTTTAAGGCATCTCCCTATGATTAAGGTCCATATTAAGTTGGCAGGAGCAACATCTTCATTAATTTACAAATTTCGGCATACAAACGGCAAAACAATTTGATTTCATGGGAAAGGCTAAAATTTTATGACATTATCCCTATGTTTAAGGGTCCACATTAAATTGGTAGAGAATTATTTAAAAATTTCGACGGAAAAACCACAAAAGAATTTGATTTCATGGGTCAGGGCTCAATTTTAAAGGTATCTCCCTATCTTTAAAGGTCCATATTAAGTTGGTAGAGCAAACTCTTCAATTATTGACAAGTTTGGACGGAAAAACCACAAAAGAATTTCATTTCATGGGTCAGGGCTCAATTTTAAAGGCATCTCCCTAGCTCTAAGGGTCCGTATTAAGTTGGTAGAGCAAACTCTTCAATTATTGACAAGTTTGGACGGAAAAACCACAAAAGAATTTCATTTCATGGGTCAGGGCTCAATTTTAAAGGCATCTCCCTAGCTCTAAGGGTCCGTATTAAGTTGGTAGAGCAAACTCTTCAATTATTGACAAGTTTGGACGGAAAAACCACAAAAGAATTTCATTTCATGGGTCAGGGATCAAATTTAAAAGCATCTCCCTATGATTAAGGTCCGTATTAAGCTGACAGGAGCAAAATCTTCATTAATTTACAAATTTTATTGGAATAAAAACTGCAAAACAATCTGATTTCAGGGGACGGCTCAAATTTTATGGCAAACACTTTAGTATCATGGACGAGAACTCAAATTTCATGGCGTCTCCCTGTGGTTAAGGTACAGATTAGGTTGGTATGGCATACTCTTCAATTATTTAAAAATTTCAACCGAAAAACCGCAAAATAATTTGATTTCACGGGCCATGGCTCAAATTTGATTTTAAGGTCTATATTAAGTTGGTAGGAGCAAAATCTTCATTAATTTACAAATTATTTGGTATAAAAAAAGGCAAAACAATTTGTTTTCAGGGGAAGGCTCAAATTTTATGGCATCTCCCTATGTTTAAGGGTCCATATTAAATTGGTAGAACAAAATCTTTAATTATTTAAAAATTTTGGTGAAAAAACCACAAAAGAATTTGATTTCATGGGTCAGGACTAGGGCTGGGCGATTACGGGTTTGAATAATCAATAATCGATTATGAAAAATAATCGATTACAATGATTAATCGATTAATCAAATAATCGATTAATCAAATAATCGATTAATTTAATAGAATAATCAAACCCGATTATCGATTATCGTTTGATTATAATCAATTAATCGATTTTTTTGCCCAACGCTAGTCAGGACTCAAATTTCAAAGCATATCCCTACGATTAAGGTCCATATTAAGTTGGCAGGAGCAAAATCTTCATTAATTTACAAATTTCGACATAAAATCGACAAAACAATTTGATTTGATGCGAAAGGCTCAAATTTTATGGCATCTCCCTATGTTTAAAGGTCCATGTTAAGTGAGTAGAGCAAACTATTCAATTATTTAAAAATTTTAAATAAAAACCACAAAAGAATTTGATTTCATATGGGCCAGGGCTCAAATTTTTAAGCCCTTCCTACGATTAAGGTCCATATTAAATTGGCAGGAGCAAAATCTTTATTTATTTACAAATGTTGTCGAAAAAACCATAAAACTGCATGTGACCGGTGACGTCATTTGATCTAATCGGGTTCCATACTACTCGTACCCCCCCATACTAAGCGAACTAACAGGTCAATTGACACGGTGAAACCAAAGCGCAACTTTAAAGTCTTGTAACTTTTTCATTTATGGAGGTATTTTAATGATTATTTCGCAGTTTTATTTAATTTTACTCAAATTTTCATAATTAAATTACAACCAAAAATTGGAAACGTTATTTTCATGTTCAAACACCCCCAGATCAAATTTTGTTGAAATCAGAATTTTTTCGCATCCCCATTTAGGGGTGCGTCCTGTCGTGGTAGGAAGGTTGTTTGTCTTACAGGATGAATATATTTATTTATTATTTATTATTATCAGTAAACAGGGCCGAAATATGAAAGAAAGACGGAAAACAAGTGCGAAAGGTTAGGGGAGAAATAAAGACATGGAAGAGCAACACAAGTTCTGACCTAGTATAATTGTAAAAGGATTACAAGGAAAAGTTGAAAGCCATGATCATTAATTGAACCTTTTTAATTATTCTAATCCTCTCAAAATCAGTATCAATTTATTAAGGATTAAATAGAAAAACTAATTTGGCTCCGTTCATTAACATACCTATCCATTAATATACCCACCCGATTCATCTTTTATTTTTGTCCTTGTTGAATATCATTGGAAATGACTAATTTTTCAATGGAAAATCGTCTTATTTGGGAATTTTAATCAGGCCTTTTTGGGGTACGAATTTTGCAACTATTTAATGAAATTTACAAGGAAAATACCGTTAAGGCCGAGGTGCGCCCCGGTGAACCGCCTTTTTCGCTCACATTGAATTAAATAGGCAAACACTCGGCGTTGTATTACCAAAAGAAAAGCGGAAATGCTTGTAGTAGTACCTACCATAGATTAAGTTGTGTTTTTAATCTATGGTAGTAGGTACTGAAAATTGCTCTCTTCGAGAATTATTTAAGGTCAACAATGAGGTCGTCACTATCATCCCCGTCACAACAAAGACTATCATTGTTTAGTCTCACACATCGGCCGACAATAAAACAAACAAACACTTTGAATAAATAATGTATTTTCGTTTTTTGATATAATAGTATGTATGCAGATCACTGACGGCACAATTTTAAGCTAACAACAATACATTCGTTGTGGCAATAATTAATTTCTGAAACCGTAACTGGAAACACGCGACCATCGCGAAATATACTGTTGTTAAACTCAAAATTGGGACTTAACTAAAACAGTACGTTAGGTACATGCACATACAATGAAACACTAGCCTAACAAATTTGAAATTGTATTGCTGAACTAGTTCATTCCTCTTTTTATTTTATCTATTAAATAATAAATATATTAGAATTATGCGAAAGGATATTTACAAGAGGGGTTGTGTTATGTACAGTTTTGTTTAAAACATCAAAAATACAATTTAATAATTGGGGGAGGTTTGTAACGTACGGGTTAAGCAATGAACTGCGTAGAACGAAATTGATATGACTCGATCGCTTTCACTTTTATTAATTGTAACTAATAAATAGAATTTAGTATTGCCGAATCACTAGTTTTGATATGTCTACATTTTCTTTTGTCGAAAGCTCAACAGGTCGAGGTCCCTAAACGAAATTAGTTTGATGCAATGCGGCGTTGAAAATCGATAGTGAAAGTCCTATTCCTCAGCGAAAGCGTAATGAAAAAAAAGGAGTTTATTGCTTAACCTATACTTAGTAATATAAATAAAAAGTATTTTTATACAAGTTATTGCACCGTTTAGTTCCGCACAGGACTTCAAGTGTTCAGTAATGATTCTATACTAAAAGGATTCGCCCTTCTCGTTTTTTCGTCGGGTGGTCCCGCGGTGAGATCCACCCCAGCCTCCGTAACCGGAATAACGTACCCTAGTTCGGCGGCTTTTAAGCTTTCGGTTTCCGCCCCCGAATCTCCCACCACGTCTATATCACTATCACTGTCCAACGTTTCCGCCGTACCTCTTTGACTCAAATATTCACGTTTAAGAGCAACTAAGTCGACGGATATGCCCTTAGCACGCAGTTTGCGGGCCTGTCGTTCCAGCGCCTTTTGGAGCTTTTTTCGTCGACGCGCCCGTTCGCGAGCTTTCAGTTCTTGGGGTGGTATGGGCTCGCCGGAGCAGGACTGGGGATGCGCATTGTGTGCGGGTCGTCCTGGTCCTTTCTTTGTGTGCTCCTTTTTACGCCATTTTGCTCTTCTATTTTGAAACCAAACCTGCAATAAAAAGCAAACGTTCATTATTTTACCGAGTGGGAAATTGCCCGTTCACCATCTCATTCATTATCCAATGGATTCATTCATCTAAAGCTAGGAGATTTTTTATGCGAATTATTGAAAAATAAAGTTATTATTGATTATAAAAGATTGAGGTTACGGGTTGAGGTTGCTAGTTTTTACGATTTGGAAACATTGTGTCCTTTCACAACGCACTTAATGAAGCAATTTCGAACTTTATAATCCAATCGATCTGAAGTTTCAATCATTTTAGAAGTGCAATTATTTTTATTAGCATATAGTATAAAATATAATCGTAAATTCTGAACTTGTTGAACTATGATTTTATGTGGGCAATCAAAATCGGGTCATAAATCCTAGGAGCACGTCGCATCATACGATGGATTTTGCACGTAGACAATTTGTTCAAATTTAATTAAACTTTTAAACGGATTTACCCCGCGCTAAATAAATCGTCATATGAGAAAATGAAGTTGGTACCTGTCCACAAATTGAAAATACCAAACTGTGGTGCTAGTGCTAAATTTGACCCATCAGTTTTTATTCAAATAATCGCTTCCCATTTAGTGCTAACTACATCTATAAAATAAACCATTAACATTTATAATGGCAACTTTAAGGAAACGCATAAAAGCTTGTAATAAGGAATTTTCACGCTAGACATACTGGCTACTTTACTTGTAGTTTAGTTCATTATTTCTCCGTTAATCGGGGGTTCTATATTTTTAGCAGCCTTCTTTATCACAAACAACAGCTAATCCCTCAAAATCCCTCACGGATTTCGCCTTCTTTGGATGGTCTCTATTTTTTGTTCTGCTCCTATTTTGTTTAGAATGGTTCCAAGTTATTTGGGCAAAAATCGTTAAGGTCTCCAAAATGTTGACCTGTACCCAAAGATCGTTGGAAGAAACGCTCAAATTTATTATACATTAACTAAATAAATTTCATTTGGTGGAGAAGTCTATGAATGGCTGAGGCGAAGCAAATGAGTGCTCCGTGACAAAAGTTAACTGAGTAGTTTATTTGCTCATTTTGATAGGGCAAGTAAATTCGGTCGGGGATTATCTTGGAACTCAAACCCGGTAGGTATATAGTCCAGGCTAAATAGCTCTAAAATAAACCGGGTTTTTCAGGCAGGTGAAATGATTAGAAATTGGGAAAAAATAATTAAAACAGCTGAATTTTTCCGCAGGTGAAAGGGGTGGAAAGTGGTGTTTTGCAGACTGTGGCAAAACTATTAATTTTAGACGAAAATGTTCAACGTAAAAGTTATAGAGATTAAAAAAATGAGCAACTTTTATAACTGCACTATTTTCACATAACCTCCAATTTTCCTAGAAAAACCGGAAAAACTGTTTTTTTCGTTTTTTATTCTTATTTTTGCGAAAAAAGTCGCAGCGGTTTGAAATTTGGATGAAACATAGCTTGTTTTTTTATGATAAAAAAGGAGATAATTTTTTGGGCCCGTAAAGTTGAACCGTTTCCAAGATCTCACGATTTCTGAAATAAACCACCTCCTTTTCAAGGGGATGGAAAATCTATTTTTTTCATCGTATAGAGGTGCGCGGGGTAGCAAAATTTTCGTAAGGACTTACATTTTTAATAATCAAGAATAAAAATTATTATTCCAATAGAAAAATTTTAAGAAAAGCGGCAAAAACTGGAGGAACAGTTTTAAGATAATTATACCGTTTTTGACAGTAGGTAAATAGGCTTTTTTGCAAATAAATTAACGTATTGGATCCGCGCTAATAAAAAGTTTTTGAAATTTGTCTTCTCTCTCTTCTTTAATGTTGCTAAAATATTTTCTTTTGTTTCCTAGTGGCCAACTGCCTTAATTAAAGCATTTTTATTATTTCTCTTTTCTGCATTTTTACCGCAATAAAAGCAATTCGAAGTAAAATCGAATTTTTTTGCTTCCTGAACAATTTGTTTTTGTTCACTGCCTGTTTTACAGGGATTAAGCTGGGCCTGTTGATCGTGAATTTACAGGAATTATGAATAAAATCCTCACGAAGTTTATTCCAGGTTTACATCTCAAATCATTTGCTTTGGCCGGTAAAACTAACGTTCTTATTTCAGATTTTGCAAGTTTATCAACAGGCCCAACGCAATTGAATCAGCTATAAAACAAGCAGGAAGAAGAGTCAGTGAACAAAAACAAATTGTTCAGGAATCAGGAAGCAAGATAATTCGATTTTATTGCGAATTGCTTTTATTGAGTACAAATGCAGAAAAAAGAAATAATAAAAATGTTTTAACTAAAACAGTTGAGCATATAAGATAACAAAAGAAAGGTCCAACGTGTTTCGTTTGGGAGCCACCCTAAAAAAAGTGGTGGAATTTCTTCTTTAATTTTTTTCTCAGCAACCATAAGAGATAAAAGGACTAAAAACTTCAAACGCGAATTGCGGGCGAACAAGACGTCAGAAGTGGGTACTGACACAACAAATTTCGTGGAATTCTCTCCACTTTCGTTGTCCAACCAAGAATATTAGTGACCGATGTTCAAAAACCCCATATACCAAATTTCGTCGAAATCAGAACAAAAATTTATGCAAAATCCGAAAGGGCATACCCCAAAAGTGATTCATAGGCG